ATTTATTCATTGGGATTAAAGACACTAATTAAATGTTGCAGATAAACCACCAGTCTAAGAAGAGTATATTTAGTTTTCAAACCCTACATGGCCATTAATATTGTCATATGTAATATGTGTAAATCATACATTAAAGAAAACATTTTAAACGGTTTTAATCTCGAAATATATGTATTAATAACAGTATTATTACACTTATTTCGAAATTACATCCACATCAGTTATATGCACATCGTTTAAATAACATATTTAAACTGATGTGTAATATCGTCACATTTCTTTCTTTGTGTTACTTATAGAGTAAGACGTGGATTTTGATTTTATAGTTCGTCAACTCTCCAGTTCAACTTTCGACAACTTAAACTGTTACAACTTAAAGAATTTAAGAACTACCGTCATTACTTAAGCTTCAGAAACACGAGCGCATAATTCACGTCATACCAGCCATTACTGTAAGTCAAAATGGCGGCCAACTATCAAAGAGAAAGCTCGCAAGCTCTCACATCATTCTCCTAAGTCTAGTCTATGGTAGGCTTGCGGATCTGAACGAATGTTAATTTTTAAAATTGTACTCTCGTTACAGAGCTATAGAGTACAAACTCGTATGAAAAGTTTACGAAATTATTGTGACAGGTCGAAATTTATCAATTTAAGAAGATTGTTCTATGTCGAGCAACATTAACATGTTAACTTCGTGTCTGTTGCGAGGTGTTACATAACATTGACGAAACACGTAACTTCTAAAAACCCCGTAGCTCAATGGTTAATTGAATTGCTTCTGTTGCGTTTAGTAAGACAGGTCGTAGGTTCGAAACCCTGTTTATAAACTAAAATACTCGATGAAATGGGTTTTTAAAAATTAAGTAATATTCATCATCCTTAATTTAGAAATAACTAAGGATAAAGGTACGAAACCCCCAGGGTTTGTTTTAATATGCAGTATACTAGCAATTTTATGGGTAATTATTACACGAATTATAGAATCAAACAGTCAAATCTTATTTATCACCGTTACTCCGTTATAAATTCTAGATTTCCGATATTAATCCGAAAAAACATACCAAAAACATCATAAAAAGTTAAAAGTGTATCATTAGAAACTAAATTTGACACGAGTCTAATTCAAGTCCCAAAGATAACAGTCAAAACATTGAAGTCATGCAATCACTAATCAATAAATAAAACACCTCTTTGTTCTTACGACATAATTTTAATGAATCGAATTAAATAACATAAAAATAATCACAACATTAAATAAGTGGTTAATTAATTTTAAATAAAGTAACAATGTATTGTTAATAAGGCCGTGTGCAGACAGATTCTTGGTGTAATTGCGACATTACAGCCTGAAACCTTTACCAAAAAACACCTATATGCACAGGCCCTTAAACTATTAATATCTAAGTGTTTTAACATAAGGACAATAAAATTATAGCAATATGACCTCTTTATCATTTTATTTACGTATAATCTTTGAACATTACATTTATTTAAAGAAGTTAAAGTCTCTCTTTCAATAGGAAATATTATTGACTTGATTTATAATTTTACACGTGTTATTGCACGTGAGGGCTTATTTAAGTTTACAAAGTATTTCACACTGAAACATTTAAATTGAGGACACAGTCTAGACTCGAACCCACGACTCATCACGTTTAGTTACTCAACTAAGTAAGTCACCAGTACTGCGTGTCCGTCCGCGTTCATAAAATTCTCATTCTATTTGTGCACATCTGGCGCAGGTAGTGCAGTTTTGATCTTAATACGCTGTTAGTGGTGGTTCGAGTCTTGCTCATGCTATTGATTTTTCAGCCTAAATTACTTTTCTATTATATCCATTTGTTGGCATTCTCTTAATAACTAAGAACGAACTTTTAAAGTTACATATCAGGTGTTAGTTGAAGTAAAATTAATGTTATAGGACTTTCCTAATATACATTTATATAATAATTGTAAAAAGAAGAAATATTGTCAATGGCACCATACTTTTCCTGTACACTCTTAATATTAATTATGACTTAGAATATTCATATTGCCAAGCATAATCCTTTCGCATGTTATTACCATTTGCTTATCATCTTAGAATGAGCATAAAAGAAATCTTCAAATAATTAATCATAGATACAGACTCTATAATTTATTACACTCTTCGTCTATGATCTATTTGTGAACATAGACATAGAAGGATTTTAGTTCACTTGAGTATGACAACCTTTAGTGTTATTTGTACATAGATAAGTTTTCTCTGACAATATTTATAAGACGCGATGTACACTATTTAGATGTCTTAGTATAATAGCGCTTTTCTCATTTTAGAAGTCTTTAGTTGACGCGAGTTATAGTACATTATAGATTATAGTATAATAGAAAACATTTAGTTGTTTGTTAAGTGTCCTACGTTTCATTAATATTCGAACTACGGTCTTAAGTAACTTTTAGGCAAAGGTATACAGACTTCTACAATATATAGTTGACACATAGTATGAATTAAATAATTGACGAAATATATTTAAAGCTTTAAAGTAACGAATTGTTTTTCTTATCATATCAATTCCTTCCCCCAGGCCTACCACTATTTTGGTGTTACTAAAATTAAGTACTAGATGCAGATTCTTCGTTTTTGAATCTTAGAACATCAGCTAAGCTCAGTAAATATACTTTGAGTATAGTTATATTGACGCAGCTACTTAGTATAGGCCGTTTGAAACCTCGTTATCTCATACTTATAGTAATAATCGTTCTTGTAAAATCCTTACAAGGTTTTACAAAGGAAGGGCTTCTTTAGATAAAGTAGACTTTTATTATAAACATACTGAAAGAAAAAGATAAAAAAATTTTAATGGTCAAAAAAAATTACCTTATACCCATAAACAAACTTATAATCTTTCTACGGTATTTGAAAAACATAATATGAAACTTAGTGTATTCTCCCAACAAGTAAATTTCCTAAACAGAAGTAATTGGAGGCTTTCATACATAAATAAAATATTGTACATATATCTAGATTTAAAACAGCGACATTACACAATATGATAATGCAACTTGTAAGGATGTTACAGGAACACACAGTATTTATCCATAATTAAAAGCTATATAAAGGCACGCAACTTATTAATTTACAGCACAGCGTTCTTGTATGAGTTAAATAATATATTTGCCCGCCTCCGTACGATTACTGTCCTACTATCAATTACAAGAAATCTACATATCATATAGGAATAATGAGAATATTGCAATATTTATTAGATTTCGTGGTATTGTTGTTGTTATTTTTACTAAGTAATTCTCTAATCATCGAAGGATTTGTTGACAGGGAAAAAGTTATATCCAGGTTATCAGCTTGTATCAATCAAGGGAATGTTTAGAAAATGCTCAAGAGATTATTTAACGTTATTCAAATACACACCGATGACTTTAAATAATAAAAATCGAGATAATTTCCAATGTAACAATTTTATAAGTTCAGTAGGAAAAATAGATCAACACTTACTTCTATTGTCTTCAAGAGTTACGAAGTTCTTAGCCCAAGCAGGTTTTTACATATATAAGCTAAGCGCTATACATGTACCTTAGATTATAGACTTTCTTACAAGAATATTCAAATTTATTGAGAATCGGATTATGACTAGAATTTCTATACATTTTTTCAATATAATTAAATATTTAATAGATTTTCCATTCAATATAGGGATTATATACTACATTTATATGAAATTTACACTAAATACGAAACCTTATTGAAGTTCGATGTCGCTGTATCTACATGTATTTTCCTGTAAAAGTCAAAAGACAGAGTATTATTTTTAATATATTGCAATGCTGTCTATGGTTTACGAGAGTAGTACACATTTAAATAAAACACTTTAACGGTTTAAAACGCGATATATTAGTTACACTTATTTGGAAATTAATTTTAACTTCGGCCCGACTCTCGGCTGGTCTCCCCGTGACCACGCCTGCTGCAAAGCATCCGAAACGTTGGGCCGAAGTTAAAAATCATTTTCAAATAAGTTTAACTAATATATCGCGTTTTAAACCGTTAAAATGTGTTATTTAAATATTACAATGCTTTAAATTTAATAGTCTTCTTTTATACTGGTGAATACACACACATAGTGATTCATTTATACAACTCCAAACTCAAAAACACTCGCCTTTGTTTTTAAGGCTTTTATGGCAATTGTTCTAAATTTAAACATTTAATTAAGAATAGCTGAAAACTTAGGAGTTAAGCTACACAATGGCACTTAAGTTTTACAGAAATTGAATTTAGCATATCAATCACACACAAACTATTTATTGAGCCTTATTTACAAAAGGAATGAAACACTTATTCGTAACTATTAGGAGCTACTTTTGAACACTCATGCGCACAGTTCTACATCTAATGTATAACTATAGTATTCCGAAGACATCACGAAGCTTACGGGATAGATAAGATTTTTTTAAGACATTTTAGGATAGAGCAATAAAAAATTAAATACATTTGAACTTTGTCATAGTTGTTAAGTAATAACTGAGTGAGCACATGTTCTAGGTATATTATAAGTAATTAATATATACAGTAATAGTTTAAAAGTATGTGCAACCGATTAAGTTATAAATTTCGGAGTTCAACCATCGGACATACACTAAACGCGTCATTGTGTTTTGTTTAATATGTATTTGTGTTTAAATAAATCTTATTTAAGAACTCCAGTCCCAATTAAGAGCTATTATTTAATCGTGTAAAAAAAGTGTTAAAATAACCATACAAAATTTCCTAACTCACTTTCATTAATAAATAGGTCACAATTCTAGAATAACTAACTCAAAGAGTAAATTATCACTATGAAGGCTTGTAGTTATTAATTGTTATTTATGTCCTTACACAACAATGCTAGTTGATTGTAATAATTACGGAGTAGTTAATATATCAGTTTGACAGTACCCGAGATAGAAGGCAAATAGAAAGTGTAATACAATATGTACATTTCAAAGTATTAAACCCTGGTTAGACGTTATTGGTAGATGAAGTTATTAAGATTGATGAAGAAGACAGAAAGACAGAACTTACAGTTAGTAGAGGCAACGGGCAGAGTAGCATTGGTGGCTGCTACAGGAGTGATGCTGGGCATAGACGGTGTTCCGCGATACCGAACTAACCAAACATTTGTTTTATGTTATCACCTGCAAACAGCCGTAAGCAAAACATACGCCACAAAGCTTCTAAGCTAGCTGTCTTTACACTTTAACACGTAATATGGACATTAAACTATTAATAGACAATAAAGAAACACAACATAATATTAAAACAATACCAAAAATGTTATATGATTTATATCCCCTATGTTCGAGAAATAGTGGACAAGATATCTAAATGAGAATTACAAAATTTGAAAGACGATACTAACGAAATTTAGTAAATGAATATCAAGTAGACTAACTTAAAATTGTATTCATTTTAATTATATGTTTAATGTCCACGTGAAAACTTTAGACAGTTATAGCAGAAAACAGTTACAGAAAAAATCTAGACAGAAGACGCTTGAACACTTAAGCACATTTATAACAGCGCTCAGCCCATACAAACACCAAAATCTATTGCCAATACGATTCTATATCAAGAAGCTTTTAGGACTCCTATTATTTGTTTACAGTTATCGTATTTAAATTTAGTACAGCTAAATTTGCTTAAAACATATAGCTCGGGCACACAAAATTTTAACTCACCAAACAGGAGGCCTATTATCACGATTCCAATGACTCCCATGATGATCATCATCTAAAATTATGCGTAATTGTTTATGATGTAAATGAGACTCTAAATTGGCATTTACTATGTTTAAGACATCAAGTAGGAGTACATAAAAATATTGCCTTTTTTATTGGTATGGTATAAGATTGTTTAAAGTGTTCATATCTTACCTTTAGATTCTGCAGCCAAAATTTATTTTTGAGACTTTTTGCTTGCTGCTCAAATTGTGAAGCTCCTTGTTGTAACGCATCTACAAATCAAATTTCAGTTATTAAATCATTAGCATTTTTAAGAAATGAGGTATTCTTCTCAAATAATTTTTTGACATTTTAGAACCCTTTCATAAATACTTACTTGCTCTGTCATCCAGTTCTGATAACTTAGCATCACGATCAAGGACTTTGTCCACGTTAGATTTCATTATTTCACATACCTGAAAATAGAAATAATGATAATCACTAACTATTATAGTATTTTTTTTCTTTTTTTATTTGTTTTTAATATCATTATTATTCACGTGATGTTTTTATATAGGTTAAAAAGGGAATATGACGACCACAAACGTTTCGAGAACATCATATATCGATGTCGTATGAAACAATATTTTTTGAGATAACTTTTCTTCTAAAGGAAAATCTAACTTATATACGTTACGTACACTTTCGTATGTTTAATTAATTATATCCTCACGCTTATCTTTAAGGTTTTACAAAGCCCTTATTTATATATTACGCCTAGAAGAAAATCTTATCTAATAATCTTTGTTAATCAATTTTCGTAGAAATACTATTTCACCTCATCGACTTGAGCTTGCGTTTGCTGCAGTCTTTTTTGAGCAGCAATTTGCTGTGGTGTTCTCGGTCCTCCGACAATCTCTCCATCCTCTCCCGTTTCTGGTTGTGGTGGGGCCAAACCATCTGGTGCTCCACCTTCTGCCGCCCTTTAAACAGTACAATAGAAACTTCAACAAATCCTATCGTATTTAGAAATCGCATTTATGTGTCACAAAAGTATTAAAATATCAGTATGTATTGTATTATTATTCGTATTATGTCAGTATTATAACAATTCTACATGTGTGTATTGAAAGCCCTGAGTTATTAATAAAGATTCTCCACTAACGCTTTTATTTATTCATTAGTGATTGGTGAGATACTAGCGTGCTCTCAGAATGTCACTATAATCACTCAGTGCTGATTACTTTTGTGATACACAAAACTGACGATAACAGCGTATGAATCAATACGAATTCTGGCGCGCTGCCACTATGCAACATAATGCGGTACTTTTCTTGTTTACATGAAAGGCTTGCAGTATAGCGAGGTGACATGCAGGTACATATCCACATAATATATAAATGCTACCAACGTATTCTTAGTAACTATATGAATTCGATATATTCTAAGAATAATTATATTAGTTACAAAAATGAGATTGGGTCGTAATGATGATAGAACATTAACAATTTATTCATTTGATGTTCCAAATTCAAAATTGTCCATTAATATTCAATGTTGTTCTATTTTTAATAAATAAAGTAATATTATTCAATACTTATATGATATTAAAAAAAATATATGTTTTTAACAAAACACAATATAACAAAAAACAATATGAACTATATAATTAATTTACATCGTAGTGATGTTTATAAAAGTTTTATTTTAGAAATTACTAGGGGTATTTACTAAAGAAAGTATTTACTTACATTTTGACTCCTTATCAGTTACAACACGTAGAAACAATGTTGAGCTGAAAGTGAGCGCTGAAAAGAAGAGCTTTCGCCTGAGCTTCGGAATCACGCTTGCCGCAAAGCACGAATCGCCGGCCGCAGTAATGTCGCGCACGTAAGTACACTCAACTCATAAGTGGGTTAAGATTACATATTGGGACACAAATAGAGATGTTTTTATCAAATCATTTGATAATATTAAAAAGGTGTTTGTTAAATGAATCAATCCTTTAAAACTGTACACTAAATATAATCAAATTACATCTACTCCAATATTATAAACTATTCCACGCCGTTCAACTATTCTAAGTTGAACTCCGGATGAAGTCGCTGGCACAGCTAGTTATTCATACATCTGTAATTTTCGCGTTACATTTGAAAATTAACACCAATTATTGTAGTCGCTTAGACAAAAGTATTATAATATTTACTGTACCCTTTTCTGAACAACTGTACAGTGCAGTACACGCATGCGCATTAGTTGTTTTCGCATCGATTACGACATGCGGACTTGTGAGGTAGGTCCGGGGTATGTCACACGTGTATTTCACCCTCATCAATGAACAACCTTTATTCTGTAGGTACATTGATTGGGTTTGATTCATAAACTACACAGAGATTTTCATTAATAAGTAGATATCCTTTTGTTCTAATCTGACTTTAACTTTTTAACTATGACATGACAATTTAGATTTTTGTAATCTCCTACAGTGCATATATTATACTAGCACTTAGTCCGCGTAAAAAAAAATCTTTATAAATTTTAGCCGTTACAAAAAGAAAGCCCAAAAGCATAAATAATTTTCCCGTTCTTTTCACATTCCCCGCTTTTTCTTTGCTCCAATTCACGATGGTCACAGCGCGATGTTTTATAGCCTATAGCACTTCCCGATATATGATCTCACCAAAGGAATTTTTCAATTCGAACCAGTAGTTCCTGAGATTAGCGCGTTCAAACATACAAACAAACAAACTCTTCAGCTTCATATATTATTATACATAGCATTTGCCTAAAATAATTAAAAATACGTTATTTTCTTTTACAAACAAAATCTATATCCTAAATTACTAATTCAAAATAAAAATTACACGAAAATATTTCTTCTCAGTTATCATATTGTTTTAATTGAAACACTGAATCACAACCTTACATGCCTAATTTATTATCTTTGGCCCTTACAAAATTAGAAACGCAGTCTTAATTAAGGTATAACGTCATTATTTTAAGTTATCTTCTTCCCGATCGGGGGCACTTCGTTACCTTGTAGACCGTACATTATTACGCCATGATCTTTTACAGAGTACCTTCAGTTAAAGCTATGTCCCTTCCCGAATTGATATTTAATTGCGTTTCAGATGGTTAAATACTAAGGAACTCTATAGTTTACGCGAGTAGTACATATATTTTATAACGGTTTAAACGCCGATGTTCTTCTAACTTATCTGCAAATTATTTTAACTACGGTCCGAAGTTTCGCATGATGTAATGCACTTAGCATTGACAGCTTTTATACAAGTTTATTTACTTATATTAGAACCTAAAGTTTACATTATGAAAGCAACGAAACTAACAGAATTTATTAACGGTCCGTTTTTTTTTGTTAGACTCTTAGCATATAAAGCGATACCAGGACATCGAGAAAACAAATTGTGATGGTTACAGAGTAATTCGGTTTTGTATTGTCAATGCATTGCTATATTTTGTAGTAATAAATAAATTAAAAGTTTTGTATCTATAACTCCAACATTTATGATGTGTGTGTGAAAATTCGTCATCCTAATATCCTTAAATATTGATTTATAACACAAAAGCAACATTACTTTTATCACCACGGTCTTGTTTAAAGTCTTGTTGTTGTAATGACTCGTACATCGGCACTTAATGCATGTAACAATAAAACAATATAATTTTTAAACTGCCCGGTAAGTTGATAATTATATGGATACGACTTATATTTTGCTCGTTTGACTCGTTCTTGGTAATTAAATAAGTATACGTTGCATTTACATATAATGGGATGTTATTAATACATTAAAATATTTTATTACTTTAATTTTTTACATTCATATAGTAAGGGACATAGGCAAGAATATGTACATGATACAAAAAGACATATACTATTCGTATCTATTGGATATATATTTTTCGTTTGTGAAGATACATACATAAAAAAATACTATACTGCAATAAGGTATTTTGTCCCAAAAACAAAATATGATTTTTTCAATCTTTTTAAAAGTTATAAAAACGTTCTTTGTTTTATAAAATTGCATTATATCATATCTCCTGTGTAAGCGAGTTTGAGCAAGACATTCAACGTATGTATGTAACATAAAAAAATATCAAAGTTTCTCTTGTGACCACACACAAAAATATCTTTATAACTATGGAATCCAAATAAAGCCAATATTTCTTACGTATTTAGTCCTAAAAAACATATCTCTAATAGATAGAGACGGTCCACACAATACTAACGTACGATAAATACATTAAGTATAAATTTTATAAGGCCATTAAAATTAGGGCGGTCGGGCCTCGAGCAAATTGTTCTGACCGTCGGCGCGGGCGCACAAAGACCCCCAACTAATCAATTGACTGCCCGCACTCACTGCTCACCGACTAAATAAATCGATATAACTGTTTTTTTTTTGTTCGGCATATCCATTATTACGTTTCATAATTGTTGCGATTAATTATTGTAAGCGAACATGAGACAGTGAAGTCTAGGTATTGTGGACCTAACTCGGGATTTCCGTTTATTAATTTATTTACAAAACTAATTCTTAATAGGTTAATACTTATGAACTTACTTAAAAAAAAATGCTATTATTGTGGTTAATCTAATTACAAATATTTTTTTCCTGAATTCAAAAAAGGCGGTTCTCAAAACAGCCGTACCTATATACTTTTTTTAACATTCATTCAGACAATATTTTTTGGGCACATAATTATGATACTTAAGTTGAAAAATGTCCTCAAACAACATTGACATTCTTAATGTAATATTTTGTTTAAACAATGATGCACGGCAGAACAAACAAACAACCGCTGAAGTATTTAGTTATTTAATAAGCTGCCCGAGGCAATGCACTGATCTGGCTAATTCATTATTTTGAGTTGGTAATTATTATAATGACTGATTAGATTAATGCTTGTTAGATATATACTAGTGTATTGGATTTCTACCTTACGATGTTAGAAGTAGTTTTTTTTTATAGAAGACTTTTAATAGACTCTCTGTCTGTCTTTAACGGTTTAAAACGTACAATTTAACGAGCGACCAAGACTGTAGGTAAATTAACATCCAAATAAAGTAACTAATGCATTTTCATTATTGGAAGGTGTTATATTTAAATGTTTACTACCCACGTACACTACTGAAGACTGTAAAATGAAACGTGATGAAAAAAGGAAGGGTAGCGAGTTTCTTGCCAGTTCTTCTTGTTCGTTCTACGCCCTTGATTTGAGAACTCGTAGTAAATGTACATTTCGAGTCTTGAACATAGTTTTGAACTTGTGCGTCGTTCATAAGTGTACCTACGAGAATAAATGATTTTTGACTTTGACATTGACACCACAAGACTATAGTCAAGTGAGCTCGACATTTTAACAATTAGTTCGGCTAACCTGCTACTAGGCGTAAACAAATCGTAGCTTTGTCCACGAAATTATCGCGCCTCAGCTAAGTGTTGCCCGATCCTTGTTAACTTTTTAGGTTAACAAGACCACTCGTGTTTACGTATTGCTAGCCTTTTGGCCCGTATTTAACTCAAATATTTATAAGTCTGCCAACTTGAAATACGAACGCGTCCGTGGCGGATAAACACGTCGAGGCTAAGCGTCAGAGTTCCTGGGTTTGAGTTTGGGGATACCACTTAGCCAGGGCACAGAAGAGCATGGTTGCAAAAATAAGTCAGTTCTGAAAGGCTGTATCAAATTTGAGATAATGTACAAATTTTAGGTATAAAGATACTTGTCGCATGGTCCGGATGTAAATAATGACGAACTGAAGTATAATTTCTATCGTATAGGACACATGATCGTCGCATCGTGAATTTGGCAGGAATTTGTTTACAAGAAAGAAGTTGTATGAATTTTGATATGTAAAATATTATTATTTCACATTGTAAAAACATATCCTTTATAAGTAACTAGCTGTGGCTGCGACTTCATCCGCGTGGAAAAGTGACTTGAGGTAGGATTTTTAATTATTTAGGCTGTTTATTAATTTATGTAAGGGTGCATTTAAGGCAGCAAATCTATGGTAAGTGCTACTTTCCCGCATTACTCTCACCTCCATCACTCCTACTCTAACTCCCACTCTCATTCCTATACTCACTCCCACGCCCACCCCCACGCCCACTCATATTCCCAAAAAACCAAAGAAGACAGTTTCATTGTTCTAGCTTCAAAAACCACGAATTTTCATACAAACTTTCATCCTCTTTTTAACCCCTATCAACCAACTTTTTTGGTATTAAAAAGTAGCCTATGTCCTTTCTCAGGCTCCAAAATATCTGCGTACTAAATTTTATTTAAATCA